ACAACAAATGAAGGTCCCACGGGCTTTTCCCCCACGCGCTTTACTACTTTCTGGTTATCACAGTCAACTCTACTTTGAGGAGGCAGCTCTTCCTAAGTCGCATTTTGAGTGCCTTCCAACCTGAGGGGCTCATTTTCCGGCACAGTGTTTCTCTGCTATTCATAATGTTTTTGGTGACTAGTGATTCAGAAGTAGTCGTCACTTTTTCTTCCTAGTCTGTCTTCGTCTGGAAGCTCAGCTGAAACCTGTCCACCATGGGTGACCCTGCTGGTATTTAAAATACCGGTGGCATAGCTTTCAGAGTCACAGCAACTCACAAGCCAACACAATAAGACAAACTGACAGACAAATGGTGGAGTAAACTCTGGGTACCATCAGTAGTCGTCAGGGACATATAAATTAATATCACAGATACCATTGCACATGCAGGAGCCCTGGTTGCACAATGATTAAACATACAGCTGCTAACTGAAAGGTTGGTTATTTGAACCCACACAATTAGCTCTGCAAGAGAGAGACCTGGAAATCTACTTCTGTAAATTTATAACAAAAGAAAACTTTGTGGAACAATTCTACTGTGTCCTATGAGATCACTGTGAGTCAGAATTGACCCATCAACAATAATATATATGCAGTTGACTGTCAGGCATTGCTAATAGGAATATGCTTCAACCTGTTTACACTGTAATAGCAAATTAAAACTAAACATGCCTATGGTCCAGCAGTTCCATGCTGGGGTATATATTCTTATTAAAATAATGACAGTACAAGATTTGACTTTTTTGTTTTGACTCTTGTCTTTAGAGAATATTATCCATACTAAAGATGTTACAACTGTTGGTAAAAAAAAAACAAACTTATGTGAGCCATTAGGGAAATTTGGAACATTGATAAAGATTTTAATTACTGGTTTAGAACAGCCTTTCTCAATTGACTTAAGCTGTGATATTTCTGAAACAATAGTATGTATCAGACTCTCTTGAAATGTCTGTTTAAAATACACCCCACCCGCCAGCATTCCTGATCAGTGTGTTTATGAAGGAATCCTCATAGTGTGTAGTGGATTACAAGCTCAGTTGCTAACTGCAAGGTCAGCAGTTCGAATCTACCAATCCTGAGGAGAAAGATGAGGCTTTCCGTTCTGGTAAAAGAAATACAGCCTCAGAAACCCTGTACAGGGATACTGTGAGTCAAAGTCGTCTCGGTGGCACACAGAATGGAGTTGAGAATTTGCATTTCTTGTAAGTTGTCAGGTGTTGCTGGTTGGAGTTTCATACTTTGTGAGATCCATTTAAGTCATTTATTGTAAGTAGTAAGTGAATATCCTCCTAAGGTTTTTAAAAGAACCAGTTGCTATCAAGTCAACAGCAATTGATGGCAACCTCATCTTAGAGAAGAACTGTGCTATGTATTTTTTTCAGTGACTGATGTTTTGCAAGTACAAATATATTGCCCATCCTTTCTTGTCTAATGCCTTTTGGATGGATTCAAACCTGCAACCTTTTGGTTAGCAGCTGTGCATATTTAGGGGTTGAGCCACCCAGTAATTTCCCTAAGCATCTAGGATTGTACTAATTATGTACCATTACCATTTTTGGAAGATAGAGAAAATAGTGTCTATGTTCTGTAATTCAGATGAGGAACTCAGTTGGAAAAGATTGGATTAGAATCTAATTTGTATGGTAAAAATGAGCATACTATTTAATGTTATCCATCATTTAAAATACTCCAATATTATGCTTATTTGTAAATATTTCAGTATTAATTGTAGAACCGTTTTTTAGCTGTTAAACAGAAATATCAAGAATTCTTGCTGAATATGTGTATATCCATTTTCTAGATTGTTTGCTACATATGAAGGTGACTCAAACTATTGCAATTAAATCACTGTTGTTATTAAGTGCCATCAAGTCAGTCCCATTTATAGGATCCCTGTACAGAGTTCCTAAGGAGCAGCTGGTGGCTTTAAACCACTGACCTTGTAGTTATCAGTCCAGTACTTAACCTACAGCATGCCATCAAGACCCTGTATGTAAAAATCATAGAAACTTTTATAAAACCAAACTATCAAAATGTGAAGCTGTTGCTTCTCAGCATATGCTTTATTTAGGTCTTTATACTTCTGAAGGCATTTTTTTATTTTTCTAACCCTTTTCCCCCAAAGAATTCTGTGCTCTTCTATTTACGTCACCTTTGAGAGGGACTCAAATCATGTTCCTTGGAAATGTTCTTTGAGTTTATGGAACAAAAGTTCTGTGAAGATATGCAAGATAAGGGCTGTGAGATGAATGGTGGGGTAAGGTTTCTTGTAGGACATATTTAGGTAAGGTTTCTTGTAGGACATACAAGAATGAGCAAGTATATTGTCCTGAAGGGGGAAAAAAATCTCTCAACACAATGTTCTTGGCCTTTTTATCACCAGTACTGTTTCATTTATTCCAAACAAAACACATTTAAATGTGTCTCTGCAATCAGTCAGTAGCTACAGACAAGGTCTCTCAGCAATACACATGGGTTTAAATGTGTTTTGTTTAGAATAAACCCATGCGTGTATGAACTGGAACCCTAGTAGCACTAGTTTCTGATTTACCCTCATACATATATTTAAAAGCATGAATTCAAGATGTCTTAAAAGCAGAAAACTTGCTCTATTCATAGTGTTATGCAGTGATTTTAGGCTTTCTTTGAAAGTCAAAGCATAGCTGATCATATGACAGGGCCTCAAAAAAGCTCACAGATAAATAGGATTGAAATTTTCCCACAAACTTTTTGAAGTATCCTAGTATTAATTGTTTTATAGTACCATTGAAAGAAAGTTAAAAAAAAAAAAAAATACAATAGGCAAATAGGTAATTATAAATTTTTCTAACTTAACAAGAACTACATGATTAAGATAAAATCTAAATTACTTTAACTCCTGTAGTTTTTATGTCTTTAGAATCCTGAAAACTTCCATTTTATTTTTGCTGTGCAGAGCCTGTTTAACAGGATGTTTTCTTGTTTTAAACTTTAGGGCGGCTGCAATGACTCTGCGTACGGTATTACTGTCTTTGCAAGCACTGTTGGCAGCTGCAGAACCAGATGATCCACAGGATGCAGTAGTAGCAAATCAGGTAAGATGGCTTCTTTTGAAAGACTTTCTTTATACTTAACTGAGTCTTTGCATCAGTGTTTGCAATATTAACACATTACCAAACTATTGAGACTAAATTTGGAAATGAGTTTCTTACAGTATTTTGTCAGGTGTTATTGTGAAAACATAATGATTTTTAACATACTAGTTTAATTAGGTGTGTGATAGTTTTTCATGAAAATTTCCAAGCATACAGAAAAGTTGAAAGAATTATACCTATATGTCTCCTCTATTCAATGACTCATCCCTAATGATACTTCTAATATGCTCTTACTGTGGCACTGAATTGATAGTATAGTCAGTGACCTTATGAATATAAAATTCAGTAGATATTTTATAATTCTGATCTTACTGGATCTTCCTAAGGCAGGGGTCAGGCAACTAGATTCATACACATGTTTATATAAATAGTATTTCTTGGATACAGCCACACATTTGTTCATTTATTTCAGCTACAGTGGCAAGAGTTGCAACAGAAACTGGGTGGCCTAAAATGTTTGTTGTCTGGTCCTTTAAAAAGTTTGTCAACTTTTGCCCTTAGGCTGAGTATCCTTTTTTCCTTCTAGAAATGTTTTTCTCCCTGGACTTCTGAGGCACTGTCGTCTTTCTTCTACAGTTATTTCTCATCTTTTTCCTGTTGTTTAAACATATTACCTGGGCTGGCTCTGATGTTGTTCATTTTTCACTCTTAACTTGGATGATTGTATTCACTCTGGTATCATTTGTATATAGATCAAATGTTTTGGGTTGACCTCTCTCCTTAGCACAAGAGCCAATATTTGCAGCTGGATAGCTCAATCTGAGTACTTCATGAATCCCTCAGCACATTACCAATTTTATATACTTCCTCTGATTGCCTTAGTTAAAAATCTTTGTATTTCTCATTTCAGCTGCTCTGGTAGATTTTCCTTCTTCAGCTTCTTCCTTCTCTCCTCTGTCTTCTACATTGATAGTTTAGTTTTATGAAATGCAAATTTTGTTTCACTAAACTAAATTGTTTTATAATTTTACTATAATCAATTGAGTCTAAATTCTTTAAAGTTGAAGAGGTCTTAGATGAGATGAACTCTCTTCAAACCTAGCTTTATCTCAGATTTCTTTTTTTTTTTTTAATATTTTATGTTTAAGGTACAAGTCTACATAGCAAATTAGGTTTCCATTTAATAATTTCTACATAAATTATTCAGTGATACTGGATTACATTTTTCATAATGTGTCATCATTTTCATTCATTCTGTTTTGGTTGTACCACTTCTAATACTTTAGTGTCATTGCCTTCTAATTTTTCTCATTTTTGCTTTAGATAGATGGTTTGATATTAAATTCAGTTCCCCTTTAACAATTTTTATACAAATTGTTCTGTGCTATTGGTTACAATTTTTATAATTCTGTCATTGTCATTATTTTCCCTCTGTATGTTCTGTTTCCATTGATCTAGCTTTCCTTCTTCTTGCCTTCTCATTTTTATTTTTGGGTAACTGTTGACTATTTTGGTCTCATAGTTAATGTTTAAGGTGATAGTGTTTATTTTATAAGCCAGTGTAGTATGTGACCAAAATACTACAATGACCTGCAGAAATAGCTTCCAATTCCAAATTCAAAGGTTATTTTAGGTCCGTCATCTTGGGGTTCTCCAGTCTCTGTTGGTCTTGTGCAGCTAACCTTTTTTAGGAATTTGATTTTGTTTTTAACTTTTTTTCTCTCTTTCTATCCAGGACCTTTGTTTTCTCCCTGGTTAAGAGTGGTTGGTAGTGGTGATTTCAGGTTAAAAGAGGTTGTGGTTCATGTGAGAAATTAATCCCATGGACTAGTTTATTTGGTCCTTTGCTTTCTTTCATTCTCTTTTGTGTAATATGAATGGAGACCAGTAGTTTTATTTCAGATGATTACTCTCAAGCTTTAAGGTCCCAGATACTCACTGAAACTAGGATATAGAAAATTATCGTGTCAACTTTATTAAATAAACACTATCACCTTAAACAATTAACTGTATGAGACCAAAATAGTCAATAATTAACCTTAAAACAAAAATGAGAAGGCAAGAAGAAGGAAAGCTAGATCAATGGAAACAACATACAGTTGAATAAGTTGGCATCTTCCAGGATTGTAGTTCCTATAAGCTTTTACAGAGCTCCATTCATTACTCACTAGTGATATTATTTATTTTATGAGCCAATCTTTCAGTTAGCTAAAAAGTGACCTCAGGGATAGTTTGAGTTCAAAGTTTAAAGACTGTCTCAGAATATTAGTCTTAGGAAGTCCTCTAGTCACAATTAGCCCAGTAAGTCTGTACTTTTGAGTTTGAATTTTTTCTCCCATTCTATCAGGATTCATCTAATGTGACCCTGGTCACAGCATTCTTCTCAGAGTCTTTGGTTTCCTTCTTTTCTTACTGCTTTGTTCCATGAAAGTAGAGATTAGTAGTTGCTACTTGAGGACCCCAGACAAGACTCACCATGTTGTGATGTAGAACACTATATGAACTATATTATACCAGTTAACCTAGTTGTCTGGAGACTGTGGTCCTAAGCCTTCAAACTCAGAAACTTAGTCTGTGTGATTATGTATAAGAAATATCCATAACTATGTCCCCCTTTGTGGTTTATTATGTATGTGAAGGGGATTTAAAATTTTCATGGACCATATGGACTTAAAGAGATAATGGAATTTTTTCACAAATGTCTTTAAGTCCCATTGTATATGGATGTATGTTCATACACACATGTATGTACTCAGTTCACATATTCATCCCTATACACATTAAGACTGATAACATATTTTTTAATTGTTCTTTGTGTTGATGCAAAATTACATTTGTGATACTGTTTACCAAAAAACTCCCTTTAATTCTTGTGTACTTCTTAGTGACGTTTATCTTGGTCAAGTGTCTAGTATCTTGGGAGAACCCCTGGTGTGGCACAGTAGAATCAGCAGTGAACTGCAAACCACAATGTTGGCAGTTCATACCCACCAGTCACTCCTTGAAAACTCTATATTGGGCTGCTATGAGTCAGAACCAAGGTGACAGTACTTAAAAACAACTGTCTTGGGCGTGCTTCCCCTTCTCTCCACACTCACCCCTACCTTCCTGGTAGCCACACTGAGCATTGGTCTCTGTAGCTATTCTTATCTTATAAAATTCCCTTGTGTCAATGTGTTACATTTTGTTTATCCATTTATCTATTGATGAGCACTTAGTAGTTTTTATCTTTTTGCTTTTTGAATAATGCTGCATAGAACATAGCTCTGTCCATGTCTCTCTTGTTAGATCATTTTAGTAGCTTCACTGTCACCAAACTTAATTGAGTTCAAATTCTTTAATTTGCTGAGTTAAGAGTTGAACTATATACAAACCTAGCTTCATCTCTCAAAGTTTTGTTCCTCAGACTTCAATAGTGCATACACTTCTTCTACCTGTCTTTTCATCCAATCTGCCATGTTTACTTTGTCTAAAATTACCACTTACTCCTTTTCCACTTAGCAAGCACCTTTTCATTCTTTAAGACTTTATATATTACCTCTTCTGGGAAACTTTTGTATTTCCCTTGAGAAGTGTTTTATCTATCATAGATAGTTCTGTGCTGATCATTCTTCTGACTACAAGAGCCTATTTGTCACTGGATAGCTCTTAGTTATCCACATATGTGCATTAATTTTGCTATATGCGCTACTATTATTTATCTCAAAGTGAATAAATACTTTCTGTTTATATTTACTTTATCAAGTAATTGTTGTTAAGTGCTGTCAAGTCGGTTTCAACTCATAGGGATCCTGTATAGGGTTTCTGAGGAGCGGCTGGTGGGTTTGAGCTGCCAACCTTTCATTTGGCAGTCCAGTGTTTACCCTGCAGCGCCACACCAGGAAGTAATGGTTGTCCCCAAATATTTCATACTAAATTGACATCTTTCCTGTACATGTGGTAAGTCTTACCTTTTAAAGAACCATCTATATTGTTCTATAGTTGTCATCGAGTTGATTGGAGACCCTATGTATTTTTAAAGCGCTCCATAGTGAGTCAGTAATCATTTCAAATCATATTATGTGTTAGGACTTCACCCTTAAATCGCTATCCACTAGTAACAGCTATAGCAAAACAGTAAAATCTAGTTATTTTCTAGCTTGAGCTATGTTTAACACAAAAGTTGGTTACATTTTAGTTAATGTATACATGATTTCCAAAGCTTGTAATTCGGTATTTACTTGGATAACGTTTGCAGGTGCACAGTGTTTAAAACGTCTCTAAAATACAGTTAGTGTTAGTATTCTGCTGCTTATTTGAAATTGGAGATTAGAGTTGATAAATGTTATGTCTTTGTCTTCAACTAATACAACTTGTGAATCAAAGTTTTAGGGTAAGTAGTCTTTTCCTGAGGATTTGCTTGTTTGCAATGGAAAATCAATCATATTTTAAATGTAAATTAGTAATTTAGAAAAAAAGTAAGCTTGGGTAATGGAAGAGTTGAACTACCAGTCGTAGACATTATAACTGTATGGTCATGTGAATCCATTTTTATCCCCCCTATATAGTACAAACAAAATCCTGAAATGTTCAAACAGACAGCTCGACTTTGGGCACATGTGTATGCTGGAGCACCAGTTTCTAGTCCAGAGTACACCAAAAAAATAGAAAATCTATGTGCTATGGGCTTTGATAGGGTAAGTACTTGATTTTTATACTTTGATTCATTTTAAACAATTGCTGCTAAACCTTATGTGACAAAAGTAGTTCAAGAATAAGTGGTATGTCTAAACATAGTTTTTTGTTTGTTTGTGTTTCCTAAATAGAGTTTTGATTTAAAATTTTTTCTTTCTGTTATTAAAATCAGTGATTCTATAGATGCATTTGCAACAAAACTTAAAGAACAGAAAGAAGTTTTTAAATGTTTGAGATTTTATTTTATATCTATCCCTGTTTCTTCTCTACAGAATGCAGTAATAGTGGCCTTGTCTTCAAAATCATGGGATGTAGAGACTGCAACAGAATTGCTCCTGAGTAACTGAGGAGTAGAATGAGAGCTGCTGATAGTCAAGCTTGTCCTTCTTGAGGAGTATCAACATCTGTTATTTTTAGAATTCTGCATAGATTTCTTTTAAACTGGCATTCTTGCCTAATGATGTTACCTAGGCACCATTGGAGACTGAGAAAAACAAAAACAAAACAAACCTGCTCTGTAAATAAAGCTAATTAAACGTCTGTGTAAATTTAAAAAGGGGAAATACTTTAATTTTTTTCTTACTTGGTAGTGTAAAATTCTTTGAGCTAAGCTAAAACCATGGAAAAAACATGCTACTTTAGCATTTAGCAGTGTACCAAGACTAGCAAGAGTTTGCTTCAGGATTTTGTTGAATAATTAAGATACTATTTTGAGTGTGTCAGGGCCATTCAAATTGTTGGTGTTGCATCACAGCTACCTTACCTGTTTTTAACATGGATCCTCTGTGCCTGTGAATTGACCTGCATGCTTGTACTTGACTTCTTAGGATGGGTAGCTGCAAAGACCACCATTTTAAGCATCTGAGAATTTATCCAGCATTGAAGATGGTGACCTTATTCAGAGCCTTTGCCCTTGTCAACAGACTAGGGCATCATATCTATTTTTTCCCCTCTACCACACACAGCAAATGTTCTGTATTTGGTGGGGAAGTGTGCTAAGAGACAGTAGCCCTTGCTCCATTTTTAGGTCATAGGCGTGGAATGTTTTGTCACAGTTCTTGAAACACTCTTAAAGCTCTCCTATGTACGTAATATTGTGAAAATGGAGCTGCCAATTTTATTTCTCTTACAAAACCAGTAAATACTTGATGTTGCAGTATTCCCAGATTTAATGAAAGAATCCAATTTAGTTTTGCGGTGAACTTGACATCTTTCTATTTTTAAAACTGTCTTAGTAGATTAAATTTTCTTCTGAGAACTTGCAAGGATGCAATCAACTGTTTGCAGTAGTTTTGTAGCCTAATTTTGGGCTTAATAGAGGTTGGTTTATTGGCTACTTTAAAAATCACTCTTGCTTGCATTTTGCCCGTATTGACACATGGAAGCTGTGTTGGTGTTTTACTGTACATACCTCACATGCACATAGGAATAGAAGTGTGTTACAAACCTAGCTTTCTTTATGATGTTTCTGATAATAAGAGAATTGAACACTTTACCTTCTCTTGTACATAGTCAGACATTATTCATATTAAAGTTACATTTCGTTCTAAGTTCAAAAGTTTGAAAATTCTTAGTTTGACAAGCTCAAATACTAATATGACCACTTTATGAATGTTGGAGTGACTTATGCAGGCAGTCCTATATGTAGAAATATAATTCTTATGAAATTGTCAGGACCAATGCAAAATAACAAAATTCTAACAGAATTAGACTGAATTAAAGTAAGACTGTATATAGAAAAATCATAAAAGGTTTGTTTTCTTAAAGTATTATTTATCCTAAATTATAATGGTTAAGTGTTTGGAAAATAATTTTTTTGAATCATAAATTCAGCATAACTTCATTTGACTTCTCAATAATCTTAATACTAAAAGCAATAATTTTTTTAAAAATTTATGAAGTATATTGTAATGGTAAGGATGTGAAGGTTCTTCCAAAAACTTATAGGGCTTTCTTAATCAGCAGTAAACTCTTGTAGTTGGTATTATTGCATAATTAACACAGGTTGCTATGTTTTTTCCCCCATATGTTCACTGAAGCATAAATTTCTTTATACAATCATCTTTTACTGTTGTAGTTTAGTTATTTTCTAAAGATGCCAAAGGAAACAAAATTTTTCTTTATTTATTTTAAGCAGTTAAAATCTTATACTTTATTTTTTGAAGTTAAATGGGAATGTGAAAATGTGGACAGTTTTTGTTTTGCTCTATTGGTCAGAATTAATTTTTTTAGTGGCGGTTGACTTGGTGACATAAGTAATATTTGGATTTTTAAGAATTATTGACTACATCTGCATAGTTTACTATTTGCCTATATTATCAGGGTAAGTTTAGTTGTCCTGTGGTTAGATAAAAGCGAGAACGCAGAAGTTAATTTCCTTTTTGGAGGCAGCTATATCTTGCCTTTGATTTTTATACTTAGCCCAGAGGGTACCTGCTCATCTAACTATAGTTTCACATCCCTAGTGCCCAGGAAACTAAAAAGTATGGTGATAATTTGGTTTGTAAGGTTCTCTGTAATGGACTTTTTATTATAAAAATTTATTTACCTCATTTACATATAATGTGATAATATTCCTACTTTCCTTTCCGGTACATTTCCTACTGTACTTTTTGTTAATGTTGTTTTTCACTTCTCTACAGGTAGATTTATTTCCCCAGACATAAATTAAGGCAACTGCTTTGTTTACCCCTCTTATCTTAAATGTTTGGAACGAAGACACTAAAAGTTTAGACATAAGAAGTACCCTGGTGGAAATTATTTTTATAATTTTCAGTATTTCTGAGATTTGTCAATTTTATGGACTTTAAAAAGCATGGTTAAAAAAAATAGAGTTCAATCCCACTTAGGGCAGGGAGCTTTTTCCCTAGTATGTGTTATTATTGTTATTTTTGTAATTGGGTGTATTTCCTGACTCTATGCCTGATTTTCAAAAAAAGAAATAATTAGTTGTATCATATTTGACTACAGAATGAATGAGTAGTAGTTTGTGGTCCAAATAAGTATATAGCAGTATATACCTAAATATTTGAGGAACTTAGTACTAAATTAAGTGCTCTGAATTGGCTTCCCCAAATGTTTAGAGTTGTGGCTTTGGGTAACTTAAACCCCGTAATATGTCCAAGGATATATTAAATGTTTGTAGTCAGAATATTTTGCTTTTTAGGGAAATAATCTATTATTAAATGGAATTAAGACTGGATTTCTTTTTTTTTTTTTTTTTTTTTTTTTTAGTGGGGGAGTACATCACATTTGTGATTGTTGGTGGCACTTAAAACTATGCAAAATGTTTTTTATTTTTAAGTATCTGTAAGAAAGAATTGGCAATTAAAACAGTTTGCTTATTTATGTACTGCAGAATGCAGCATATTGTGTTAATAATGTTTAGGCTGCTTAGTAAGTTCATAAATGTGAAAAACAAATCTTGGCTATTAGTGTATGCCTGATTTAGATTTTTAAAACCCTGCAATAGGGAACTGATAATATTTTCATAATCCTATTTAGCAGCACAGGAAGTTAAGATTTTTGCTGTTTTAAAGATTTAAGGTGGATTCAAGCAGGGAAGAGCTAGAGCTGGGTATACTTTCCTGTATATAGATGGAAACAATGTCCAGATAAGAAAAAGGAAGCTTCTGTTTACAGTTCATTTTATTTCATGAGCTTTTATAAATGATGTATTAATCACTTTTTATAGTTTAAGGAATTTCAATTCCAGGGTACAAACCATTCTAAAATTTTGCATTTCCATTACTTTAATACCAATTTAAAATAAATGCATAACATCAGCCAGTTGCTGTCACTGGGGAAGAAGGCAACTTGAAGTATTTACTGATGAATAGCCTTTTATTTTTTCCAAAGTGTGACTTTCCTGAAGTGTCTACATATTATGTCACATGTTCTATTTGCACTGTTGCAACATGGATCAAAAATCTTGTGGCATAAGAGTAGGGGAATGTTAATAGCTCTCTGCCCCTTTTGTTCTGTTTCTGCTTTATTGGACTGATCTACCCTCATAAACCTGTGATCATCATCTAAGTGTACATTGTGACTGTGTCATCTCGTGCTTGGTTATTCCAACCATGCTGCTATATGTATAATCAGTGAGGCACAGTTTTTCAGTTTGGTTCTAGAAGATGAGTGGATACAAATCATTGCACTGTGCTGTTAATGATCCTTGTCTGTTTGCTGTTACTTCCTTTTTCCAGGCATCATAATAAAAGCTAGACTATTTCTTTGGGGGGAAAGAGACTTATTTAATGTAATTTAAAGACCTTTTCAATAGAAAATGAAATGCTATTGAAAACAGTATCTATTTTTTAGCTTTCAGCAATTGATGGTGCTTTGTTGTGGTGTCTGCTGGAAGCCTACTGCCATTATAGGGATTCTCATTAACCTCACTGAGAAAGAACCTTGCTTGTTAGCTTCTTTAGATCTCTATTCTAAACACTTGTTAGTGATGATAAATTCTGTAGGAGGGTCTGTTCTGAGCCATTAACTTCCTGTAAGGGGGAAATGGGTGGGTTACCAGAAAGACCATTGAAGTAGGGTGGGCTGTGGGTGGTGGTTGGGTATTTGTCTTGAGAATTAAAAACTACGAAACACTTTTGTACACAACTGATTTTTTTAAAAATAAACACATTTTTAAAGATGTTGAATTTTTTTTCCCCCCTCACTGGGAATACTTAAAAATAAATGCATGCATATTTTTCCCTGAAAGCGGTTTATATCTTATTTCTGAGTACTCATCTTCTGGACAGGCAGTTAGTATTATGTATTACTTTAAACAAAAAAAGGAACCCAATATTTCTCCTTGAAAGATTTTATAGTGATGAACATAAATAATTAAATTTACTTAATTGAAAACAGGATATTATTTGGTTAGGGTCTGACTAAGATGTTTAAGAAATTGTTTAATAATTAACATAAAGCTTTTGTTTCTACATACGCATATACAACTTTCTGGAAAATTTTCAGTGTTACTGTTGAAAGGACTCAAAGAAAGTCCTGAATTTTGATCCCAGCTTTCATTCAGATCAAAGAACTCAGAACTTTTCTTATCTAGGTAATTTGTCTGCCTAGTAAGTAGTACGTAGCATATTTGCAGATAAAATCAAATGGTGTAGCAGTGAAAATACCTAATATTATTTGTTTCATACCACATAAATTTTGGCTAAACTGTAAAAGGATGATTTTGTGCCCAAATGAGAACACCAACAAGATGGTTTGTTTTTAAGTGTTCTTCTGGGTTGGCAAAGGAAGCCATTGTTTGGTTAAGTCGGTTTTAAAAGTTTAATGACTGTGAATAATCTATGAATTATTACTACTATCATTAACCTTGATAATTAGACAAGAGTCCATTGGTCCCAGTTTGTACTAGGTTTTCATGTGACAAAACTGATTGTTTCACTTTGTGTCTCTATGGTATGGCATTAGTTAACCTTCATGCAGCCATCCTGAGTATATTTTCTGCCCAGAGATGGCATTGTCCCTGACCCTAGGATACCACTGTGAAGTGCCCTATTATGGATTTTTAAAATGAAGGCTAGAAAATGAAGTACAAGTGAACTCACCAGAGCTCAAATTTTCAAAGGCCAGTAAACACTTGTATGCTTTGATTCTCAGAGAAACTAAATTAATATGATTCATTAGCATATTTGGCTGTGTCCTACATTAATATGCCTGCCTCTTTGTCAGTAATCCTGGTGACATGGGATAATAAGTCAACAGTTAAAACTTAACAGGTGCTCTTTTGGGAAAAGATGGTCCCATAAAGATTTACAGCCTGAGAACCCCTACATAGGATCACTAGGTATTGAAATTTACTTGGTGGGAGTGGGTTTGAGGTTTCTCTTGTGTTCATTTCCCACATTTGTTTTCAGTAAAAATGTTCAAACGGAATTTTAGCATTCTACTTAATACTTTTTGATAAGCATTGAGCCAAAGACCAAACTGTTCCATTTAGGACAATAAGCTTGTAGAGCTATTAACCACATTTAAGGAAAATGCATACACTGGAAATTTTTGAGAAACACATATTGTTTTTCCCTTATAACCTAGCCACTTGGCTGGCTGTTCAAAAATATGGGGCTTCACAACGTTGGTGGGAAAATTCCATTATCTCTTCCGTTTTTTCATGAATTTTTAAAAACTCTTAAACTTGTTCTTTAATGGCTATTAATAGTCCTTTTTCT